GCAAAACAGTAATTTATGCCAAACAGACAATATACAGCATCAATATCCCAGTCATTCAATCCATAATCAATAAAATAGTACAATATGCACACGAAACTATAAAATGAAAACATCAAACCTCATACTGCATTTAAAACTGTAAAACAGGCCAAATAACAGTTAACCGACAAGCACACTAGACTCGGGCTCCATTAGCGACCTTAAGTAATTTCACACATTCGTTGATTCATGAAATACCGTTTTATCATTTATTGAACTTTAAAACCGTGATAGGAAATAGGGTGAGGGGTCCTTACTCGTTACGGGGTCCGAACACGGCTACACAGTGCGCTTGCAGGCTGTCCCTAATTTTTCCTGAATTTTTCCCAGGGAACTGAAACGCACTACTGGTACCTGCACGTGTTCCAAAAAATCCCAAGTTAGGCCCAAGGCCCCTTTCGGCCAATATCACAACTCCGGCGACGGTGCCGCCGCTTGCGGCGGCAGTTCGCATCGGGTTGGCTGTTTTCGGCCGAATTCGACCACACTCGCATTGGTTCCTGCGATAAAACAACCCTACGGCCCTCGGGGGGCCGAAACTTTACAGAAAACTGAAGCTTACCGGCGGCGGTGCTCTCGGGTGCGGCGGCTCTCCGGTGAAGTTCGTGTTTTGGTGATTCGGCTCCGATAAACCTATAGAGAAAAGAATGGTGATCACGGTGGTATAAAAATTGCATTAAACGGAGGCCAGGAAGGGCCTCATCGGAGCCAAAAACCGAGGAGGGGCGCGGCGGTGCCGCTGGCTTTCGGCCGTGTTTTCCGGCCGTTTGGCCGGGATTTTGGCTCCGATTTGGCCACTGGAGAAATCAGCGTGGAAAAATGAGTCGGGGGTATGAAATTTACCTCGATCGGCGGTCAGAAATCCCTCCGGTGCGGCGGCGGCCGGCTTCTAGTTCGTCTCTCCGGCGAGGGCAGGTGGCTAGGGTTTGGGGTGTGGTGTGGGGGTCTTATTTATACCCTTTTGCCTTTTGATCTCAACCGTCCATTTTGATTTAATCTGGGCCGTCCGTGCTCGCGATTGATTTGGGCCGTCCGATCGCGCGCACGCGGATCGCCAACGTGGCCCGTCCCCGGTCGACGTGGTTTTACCACGTGGCAGGTCCTGGTTGGCCAGGCCTGCTGACTGGGTATGCTGACGTGGCTGCTGACGTGGCACACACGTTTTTTTTTTCCTTCTTTAATTTCCCCGGGCGCTACATGGAGGGCTAGTTATCACTGACGCAGCGAAGAGGTGACATGGGGCAACAACGCCTGTGAGTCACGGGAATGCGATGGCCTTGATGCTCGAACGACAGCATGGGACTGAGTGCGACAATGAGGGAAGAAGAAACAGCTCAAGATTGACGAAGGTCCCAGCTTTCTTGCATCGTGACCAAGAAGAGACCAAAAACCAGCGAGGAGAAAACGGAAGTTGCAGAAGCAGTGGGGTTGAATGAGACAGCATGAGAAGAAGAAGCAGCTTAACGACAACAAAGGTCTCATCTTTTTGTGCTATATTGACCAAGAATAGACGGAAAGTATGGAGGAGAGAAGGGAGAAGCAGAAGCATGCGACCTCCTTAAAGAAGTTTAACAACATCTGGCGGGCTGCATGAACTGCTCGACGAAGAAGAAGACAGTTGTGGACCAATTCTCTTTTTTTTTTTTTTGAATTTGGTATGATCTATTGGGATATTCCGTTTTAATAATAATAGGTAGAATAATTGAAAAATCACATGAATATTTATTAAAGAAGCAAAAGATTCTTAAATGGAACAAGTTTTTTTTTTTTTTTTTTTAAGAATTTATTTTCTTTAAGATTCTTTCTGCATAATATTTTAATTTTAAAATAATTTTGTCAAAATTATTTTTAACTAAACTTTTCTTTTGAAAAATAATGAAAATTTGCTTTCAAGAAAAGCACATTTTTAAAGGAATTTTCATGAGTAAAAATTTTCTTAAAAAAAATTTTGAGCTATCAAACAACAAGTTATCTAATTTATACAAAAAATAAACAAATCTTAAAGAAGACTTATGTTTAGTCTTTTGTTTTGTTTCTCTTCTTGTTGTCGTTCTTGCAATCTTTCATAATTTATTTTATTTTCTTGATTTACACTGCATTTGTTAGTTTAAAAATATAATTGTCATTAATAATATTGAAATAAGTTTAAGTCATTTATCAAAATCAATTAATTTTATTCAACAATAACGAGTAGAGTTGATTCTGTTATTCAAGAATTTAGAAAAAAATTTAGATATTACACTTAAAGTTCTTAAGTATTATCTAAAATTTAACTGAATTTCATAATTAAGTATAGAGAAATTATCAAAATATTTTATGAAGTAACTAAATAATGACTTTAAAAGAGATCTACGTACGTGTTGGCTGCAATCAGGGTTTTATCCATTCTTCACACAGATTTTCACTTTTCATAGCTTCACTTTTTTGTCTTCTTTACTTAT